ATACAACTATTTGTTGAATGAAATTATTGAATTAAATGATAGTGAAGAGTGGACATTTGGAGGGGCATTTCAACCCGTGAACAAAATTTCTAATCATTTTCTCCTTTGCTACGAGAAAAATCAGAGCCAGAGAAGACACTGCTAATGAACTATTCATGAGTTAAAACTGACTTCACAGCCGGGCGCGATGGCTCACGCCTATAATCCCAGCACTTTGGGAGGCTGAGGCGGGTGGATCACCAGGTTAGGAGTACGAGACCATCCTGGTCAACATGGTGAAACCTCGTCTCTACTAAAAACACAGCCTGTAATCCCAGCTACTCGGGAGGCTTAGGCAGGAGAATCATTTGAATCTAGGAGGCAGAGGTTGCAGTGAGCCGAGATCGCGCTATTGAAAGAAAAAAAAAAAAAAAAAGCAACAACTGACTCCTAAGGAATCCCTTGGCATCTCTAACAAAAGAGTTATAAAACTTAAAGAGTGGTGAGATAACAGCTAAGGATCCCAAAAGAGCTCGGCTCCAAATATATTGTGACCGTCGATGAGTCCCGGACCCAGTGCATCCCTCTATTTATTCACCCTTCCAATGGGAACAGGATAATCAGTTATGAGTAATTGCTAATAAAAGCCTATGTGCCTCTGGCAGAAATACAAATGCTTGTTGATAATGATCATTTTTCCCAGACCCTGGTTTATGTTTCTCCATTAACATTCCAGTGTCCAACTCTCAGGTTCCCAAGATCCTACGGGTTTGGGTCTGTGAGTAAAAAAGACCAAGCTGAGATTGGGAGAGTCACCAGAGCCAAAGCACTAGCCAGATCCCGAACTCCCAAATGAGACATTACACATGCCTGTACTGCATTTAATTTTTTTGCTGGGATGACACCCAATGTTTGTGATAAAAATGCACCCAAGGACACTACCCCAAAGAACTTGCTTCTCTTGGATCCACCAAAGGATAAAATGTTCTCAATGCCACCTCCTAAAAGATAAACACCCTTCCCCAAATGTCCCTTCTAATTGGCTGATTGACTGTCCCCTGGGTGTGACTGCACAGGTTAGTCCTGGGTGTGTAACCAAGTTGGAAAAGTCTTCCTGATTTCTGAGTACTATGACAAGGAGGAGAGTGGCATACAGTGGACTGAAATGATACCGAAGCACTGACGTGACCCTGGCACTTTGCAAAAACTACCTTCTGCTTGGGGATGTTGATCTGTGATTTTATGCGCCCCTCCAGCTCTGTAGGTCTAACCACCAAAGATCAGAGAGAGGTGAGAGATTCAACAGAATCATTCTGCCAGAGAAGGGGAAAGGAATTCGATTATAGTTAGTGGAATAATTAAAAGTCTCATCCTGTTCTCAGGTTGTAAAATGTCCAAGTATCTACACTCACCTCCCCACAAATGTGCATGTGCAAATGTAAGGTAATTCTAGGTTCTAAGTACATAAATTGTAATAAAAGTAATTAGTACCATAGGTTCATTTATCAGTATCTTCATGTGAAAACCCTTAGGCTAAATTGTAACAATCCTTATTTTTATGAAGCAAGTTATCCATTTTTTCTCAACATGCCTCACATTTAGACACTGCCTGATTCTAAAGATCAGACAGAAAGCAGAGCCTTCGAACATGACCACGCCGATGCTTCCGCAAACCATTCGGCCCTAAGAAACCAGCTTTCTTCAAGTGGGCTTTTCCACCAAGAAACATTAATCACAACCAGAAAAAGAAAATAAAGCATCCTAAAGTTAAGCATATTTATGACATCCTGAAACGCACCTCTTTTTTGGCCTTTGTAATGACGGTCAGTGCTCTGAAGTTTGGGAACTCATTGCTGATTTCTAAATGGCAATACACTTCCCTCTGAACAGGGATTACTGCTTACAGATTTAAAAATAAAACCAACTTGTTACATACTAACTTAATTCTAAACATATTCCACCCCTCACCAATGGCCTGCATGACAACTGTTGTCAAATGGAGGCATTCTTTTGGGCTTAGCTGTTTACATTTTAGTTTAAATGTAACGATAAACCTTTGTGTGGCGCGGCTTACAGGGCAAGGATTCCCTTTCGCAGTATCTATTAGGGTGATTTACGAGACATACTAGGAAACCGAAAGAAATTGAGAGACAGCTTTCTAGGACTAAAATTACTGTGTTTATAATAAGAAAGGGCCTGTCAAACAATAACTTTTGGAAGGTGAAGATTCCATCAAGGCTAAAGTGTCTAACAACAAAATCCTGTCAGGTGATTATCTGCCTGAGATGAAAACTATTTCCATGTCTCGGTTTGCTTGAATACATGCCATTCCGCCTGATATTTGGTATCATAAATTGACCTTTAGGTTGCTAAATCTACACAGCATGAACTGTTTCCTTATGCACTGTTTTTTTTTTTTCCAATGCTGTAGTTTTCTTTCCATCCCAATTTTATGTACTTTTTGTACATGCTGGTAAGTTTTTAATTTTGAGGACTTTTTTCTCTTAGTTTTCATTATTTTACCTGACACAGTTCACTTCTGTTACACTTACTTAAATCTTAAACCACCAAATGAAAGGCTGAGAAAGTTCAATAACATTAATTCCAATGTATGCCTTTCACTTGAACTTCTTATGCATTTTGCTTCCACCACAAATGCTAAACATTTTGTTCTATCTAGGAAAAAAGAAAAAAGAAAAAAAAAAAAAGGAAAAGAAAAGAAAAAAATTACAGTTTCCATCGGGATGCCAGCAACTTATTGTTGTTTTTTTCAATTAATAAGAAAAAAGGTTACATTCATCTAATCAAAGATTTTTATCCTGACCTTAACTGAAGAAAAAAGAAAAATGCTTTGAAAGTATGGTATTTGCAAAAGCCCTGAGAAGTCACTAATGGGATTCCCATGATCTAATACATGTAAGGCTTTAACTGTAACTGTAAACCCAATGAAGGCTTATGATTTGAAAGTATGAACTATTGTAGCCAGTTTTTATGGGTTTAATTCCACCAGCAAATCCCAGTTTCTATATTTTAATTCTCAACTAGAGCAAAATCACGACACATTTTCAACTAACAACCTGAAAGAAGAAAGCACTGGAATAATGGGGCCAGAAAACCATTGCCAACAACCACCCTCTGCCATGAACCATCAGTGAACTTCGAAAAGCACAAGACTGAGCAATACTTAAGTCTGTGACATATGTGCATTTCACTTATAACACTCACAAAACTACATATGAATCATTTTATTTTCCTCTGATTTAATTCCCACACAAGGTTCAATAAAACACAGCACTTACTCAGCCACCTCTGACTGAATGACTATTCTCTGCAGCTATTTATTACTCCTCTTCTGCCATGTTTTCTTCTATAATCCAATTCTGTGACTCCTATAAGCCAGGAAAAGCTGCCTTCAAGTCAACGCAGAGCACAAAGTCACTGAAAATTCTGTCGGCACTAGGCTCTACCTAGGTGCTTAGAAGTTGTTCTCTTTTGTCCTGGGAATGTCCCATAAGCAATGTTAATGACTGAAACAGATCCTCTTTTTTTCCTCAAAGGGAATTGAATTATTATAGCAAAGGATGATTTGTGCTCAAAACAATATTCAACCTATCACCCCTATTCAGTATACATGTGTCCAAGGGTCCACAACCACCTACACACAAATGTGAAAATATCAATTCTCAGGAGATCTATCTTGTTTTTAAAATTTCTTATTTGTTCCTTGTTTCATATATTTCTTGGTTTTAAAAATTCAGTATTACAAGGCTTGTTATGGGATATCAGGGCTAATTCCACCTTCCAGAAAAATAACTTTAAAAAGGCATAACTGAATACAGTATACATTTTACAACCAAATACATGTAGGAACAATTTGGTTTTAAAAGAACTACACTGAATGTATTTATCGTATGTTTACTGATTGTCATATAGGGACCATCAATGGAACCAAGAGAAAACACAGGATTCCACGCATTGAGCATTAACAGCTGAACGTTCCAAAAAATATCTTCCCAAACTGCTGGCCCTTCATTTTTTCATTGTAAGTGTAATTTAATTTATCTCATGCCTCTCATGCAACTAACATAACCTCAAAGGTTCTTTTGGTTTGGAAGTACTTTATGTTCACGTTTAATGAAAAGCACACTTAATAACTTTTTTCTGATAAACAGTGCTCCTACTTCTTTTTCGTTTTATTATACCCACGTTCCATAACCTAAATCCTAACAATGCCAAGATACTTTGAAACTTGGAGCTTCTCTTAATGCATTCAAAGTTTTAGAAATACATTGGCTTTATTTTCGATAGAAACTCTACTACGTTTTCAATATATGTGTTAAGTTCTCTTTATCCTTTCTATTGGTCTTAGCTCCTGTGAAGAGAGAAAAACAGTTCTGAGCAATGTTTTCACTGTTATCATTGTTGGTTTTGGTCACTTAAGACAAACGAGGGTGACCTTTTCGGCTTGTGCCACAAAGGCAACGTACTCCAGAACTACTTTCCCAGAGGGCGATCATTTTAAGCAAAGCTCAGTGAATTCGGGATTTTGTTGAGAACCTCAGGATATTGATTTACTTGTAAAATTCACAGAGGAGACTGTAAGAGGTTGGACAAGTTAACTCAAGGTGAGATGCAAGGCCGCCAAGCTCAAGTGTGAAATTCACACCACCACTTCCTGAAACAATGATTTAGGCGCTGAACCTGGTCTAGTGTTTTAACTTTCAGCATGGAACGAGGAAGCGTTCTCCTCCGAGCAGGACAATCAGGCGTTGCGCGAGCAGCCCTCTCCCTCTCCTAAGACCCCGGTGCCTTTATTTTATTTCCACTCGTGCGATCCACACGTTGCGTGGCCCTTCCCGGCCGCGTTGCAGATGCCTTTGCAATGCCCACTGTTTACTGAGGTGCAGGAAAAGAATCCCTTAACTTAACCCTTGTTCTCGACCTCGGGTTGCAAAGCACAGGCGACCCACACGGACGTGAAAGCTACCGAACCCCACTTACCCCCTAGCGGAGCGTCTTACCCGTACAGGAATGCAGGGGCTTGGGTCGCACGACCAGCGACGGGCACACGGAGTAGAGGGAAAGTTTCTCAAAGTAGTCGCAGGTCTCCTTGGAGAGGATCTCGTCGATCATGAAAGTCTTGTAGCGCCGCCTGGCTGCTTTGAGCTGGCCGGGCGAGCTCAGCCTCAGCTCGGCGTGGCAGTGCATGGTGAGCCGGGGCGAGCGTCCGCCGGCCCGAGCGCGGCTGCGAGTGCCCGGCCGGCCGGGGCCGCTGGGCTGGCGCGACGGCGGGGCCTCGGCCCCGCTCCCGGCAGCCGGGGAGGCGGCGGGGCTCGGGTGGCGCGCGGAGGAGAGCGGGTAGCGGGCGCGTCTGCAGCGCGTTTAGACCCACCCGCAGATCAGCATCTTCGCTAAGCCTTTTTGGGACAACGCAGCTGTCAATCAGCGCGAGCTTCCTGCAGGGCCGGGTGCGGAGTGTGTGCCGAGGGGCGTCCGCGCCCACCCCGCCCCCGCCCGCCCGTGCCACTCCGGCGCCGACCTGCGCGCCTAGTGCCCGGCGGCTCTCACTCGCTGCCTCCAGCTCTGGTGTCTCGCGCTCCTCTGCCTGCCTCTCTATTTTAAGACGCTCGCTTTGGCTCTCCTCCCCCTCCCCGCCGGGACGCGCTCCAGGTGTGTGTGCAGGAGTGTGTGCGCGGTGCGGGGAGCGCGCGCCGCGGCCAAGGCCCGGGCCGGTAGCTCCCCGGTGCAGTGTCCCCAGTGCTCACCTTAGTGCCTGTCCTGCCACCCGCCGGCCTGGCTCCCAATGCCCGCAACCCAGCGGGAGGGCACGTTCAGTTCTCTTACTAGAAAGAAGTCTAGTCGTCACTAGGCTCCCGGGACTTCGGGCCACAGCTCCAGTGCCCCCGAAGACCCACCGTGCTTTTCTCCTTCCCTGTGTGGATGGTTTCCCGAAGACCGCGGCTTCCCGAGCCCTCCACTCGCAGCCTAGCAGCTAGCGCTGAGCCTGCGCGCTCGAAGCGTAGGACTTCTGCGCTGAAGTTGCAAACTTGACTGACCCAAGATCCCAAACCAATGACCCTGGTCCCGTCCGTTACCCTAATAAGAAACTGAGAAGGAAAAAAAAAAAAAAAGATAAGAAAAGAAAAATTAATAAAAGTGTGAGTTATCGCCGGGCGCGGTGGCTCACGCCTGTAATCCCAACATTTGGGAGGCTGAGGTGAGACGATAGCTTGAGGCCAGAGGTTCGAGACCAGCCTGGTCAATATAGGGAGACCCTGTCTCTACAAAAGAAAAATTAAAAACAATCAGGCATGGGGGTGCACGCCTGTAGTCCCAGCTACTGGAGAGGTTGAAGCAAGAGGAAACCTGTAGTCCCAGCTACTGGAGAGGTTTAGGCAGGAGAAAATCTTGAGCCCAGGAGTTCGCGGCTGCAGTGAGCCAGGATCGCGTCACTGCACTCCAGCCTGGGCGACAAGAGCGAGATTCTGACTTTTTTAAAGTGTGCGTTTTTTAAAAAAAAACAAACACTGTTTATAAAAACATTTTTTCCTCGTTGGAAAGGGCCAGAGCTGCACGATTCTAGGGAGCAGGCGGGCACTGGGGTAGTCTGTCCCATTCGGGCTTCTCCCGGCGCCCCAGCCTTCCGGCAAAGCGGCTTTCAATCTCCGGATCCCTCGCGATACGACCGGGTTAGAGGGTCGCGAAGACAGGTGTTTATTGGGTGATTTGCCTTTTTCTTTCCAGTCTCCTAGTCTTAGGGTCTGCTCCAATCAAGGTCTGCACGGACTTTAGTTGTTCATTGGAATTACTGCGTAAAGGGGATCCCACCGAGCCTCCGCGCCCGGGAAGCCTCCGGCAGCCTGAGTCGCGCCCGGTGTTAGGCGGGAACAGCCCAGGGCACACCCGTTTCCACGACTTTATGTTGGAATGAGTGGGTGCGGGGTTGGAAGGAAAACGCACGACAGGGACACTGAGAAGTATAGACGCGGATGGCCTTCCCTAGGGCCGAGTTTGGGGCCGGTGACATTTCCTCCCCGCTCCCAGTCTAGAAGCGTCAGCGAGTGCCGGCGGGCTCTCCGCGGAGCTGCTTGCCCAGGGGGCCCTGGTGGCCGCGGAAGCAAGTCAGTGCCGGCGCCTGGGACGGTGGTTAAACTCGGAGGGAGGGACACGCCCAGAGGACTAATCATTAGGCTGTTAGAGAAAATAGGGGTTTTGTTTTGTTTTGTTTTGTTTTGAGACTGAGTCTCACTCTGTCGCCCAGGCTGGAGTGCAGTGGCTTGATCTAGCCTCATTGCAACCTCTGCTCCCCAGGTTCAAGTGATTCTCCTGCCTCAGTCTCCTGAGTAGCTGAGATTACAGGCGCCTGCCACCGTGCCCTACTAACTTTTGTATTTTTTAGTAGAGACCAAGTTTCACCATCTTGGCCAGGCTGGTCTTGAACTCCTGACCTCGTGATTCACCCGCCTCGGCCTCCCAAAGTGCTGGGATTGCAGGCGTGAGAAAATAGATGTTAACAGGCCAAGTCACAGCCTAGCATTAGACAAGGCCCGCAACGCGTCTTTGAGGAACTTCATTCCCGAAGTATTTGCAAACTGGCCTCCCCTCCCCTCCTCTCCATCTATAATTATTTTCCTTCATTCTCTTTCTCCATGCAGAGGCGGCTGAAGGGCAGGCAAGAACTGCTGCCAGGTTTCCGGGTGGCGCCGGGGGTCCTGCGCCGGACTCTGGGGTCGCCAGGCTGGTCCCAGGCTCGCCCCCTGCTTCCGCGGCGGGACCCTGAGGCTGGTCCGCGGTCAAGGCGCGGGACCCGGGACAGCTCACCGCTCAGCCTGAGCGTCGCCGTCCGACGCCACGACGGAGAGTGTTCTCCATAACGCAAGCCGAGAGGGAAACCGCTGCGCTGAGTCGGGGCTGGGGTCCAGGGGCTCAGCGTTCGCTCCCAGGGCAATGCCGGGCGAGGAGCTCTAGGCGCCCCCAGGAAAGTGAGCCGCTGGTAGGCAGCTGCCAGTAAACTGAGTGCTTGCGGGCGATCTCACCCGCAGCGCCGGCTACGAGGCGGGCTTGGAGCTGGGGACCAGCACCTGAGCGACAGCAGGACCCCACGCCCGGCGAGGGGCCGACCGCGTCGCGTTTATACTTTTTATCTGCCCGGCGTGTTCCGACGGAATGCGCGCACTCGGGGCACCACTCCGGGCCCCGACTTTGCACTGCTCTGCTTTCCTCAATCTCTTTTCTCTCTGGTTCTTCCCCTTCCTTCCACCGCCACTAACTCCTCTCCTCTTCTTCCCTCCCACTTCTCCCTTCCGCGCATTGCTCCCCGCACTTTGGGCCTCTCCTCCTCTGTCGAATTTCCCGCTTCTGTTTTCTCTCTTCCGCCCTCCCTTCTTCTCCCCATCGTTCATCCTTGTTTTCTCTCTCCCTCTCTCTTTTTAACCTCCCTTCTCCGCCTCTCCTCCTTCCCCCTGTCCAAACCCGGGTCTGGACTCGCGTTCGCGTGTCCAGGAGGTCGCGGCGCTGCCCCGCAGATGGCTGCAGGCGGCTCACTCGCACGGACAGAGCCCAAGACCAGGGGCCAGGAGGGACCGGCCTCGCCTTGGCTGACCGCGTCTCCCAGCGCTCTCACTCCTCTCCGCTTCCACTCGGCCACAGGCACAAAATTCACAAAATCCAGACACTCCCTCAGACGAGTTCTTTGATTGGAAATCTGCAGTGTTTTAATAGGTGAAGAGGTAAAAATTCCAATTCACCTCCTTGGATTTTCCATCTTTTCTATTTTGCGCTACAGAAGCAAGAAATCTCAGAAGGGGTCTGGGGGCACAAGTCCCCTGTGCAGTGGAGAGAGAGATACCCGATCTTGGAGTCTAGAGCCTTGCGCTCTCTGTCACTTACTCCCTAAGCTGAGCCTCAGTTTTTTCATTTGTAAATGGTGACCACAAAACCTGCTTCACAAGGATGGGCTTTCATAATCTATGCCTTTGCACAAGTTTGTTTCCTTTCATTGGAATGCCCTCTACATCCTATCCCCTCTTTCTCTGCCCCAAAACCTAGAGACTCATCTCAAATGTCACCTCCTTTGTGAAGTGTCTCCCCACTCCCCAAGGCTGCCGATTCCTACCTTTGTGGTGGCATATCCTTTACTGTATTGTCCTTTGCATGTTTATTTCACCCACTGGACAATGATCAGGTGGGCCTACTCCCTAATGTTATATCATTCATTTGTATCACCAATACCCATATAGCACACAGTCGGTTCTCAGTAAATATGTCATGAATAAATGAATGAGTGGGAAAATAATACGTTAGATGGGACATCAAATCTTAACTAGTCGTTTTCAGTTTGTCTTTCTCTTTAAAGGAGCCTCTCTCATTTTGGGTTTTTAGCAATGGCGTCTAGCCCAATTCCCTTTTCGCCCTCATCTCCCTTTTCTTTTTCCCACTTCCTCTTTCCTGCTTTCAGACTGTAAAGGGCTTCTGTGGGAGGAAGCACACCCCAGCTGTCAATCATGAAGTGGGGCTTTGGTCAGAATAGTAAGGGGTTTTGTTTCCAACGTTAATGAAGTGGCTGGAACAGCAAACATCTGCCAACGGGACTCAAACCTTTTCCAGCTGCTGGAGACCCACAGACACTTCCCAGCCTCCTGTGACTGTACCCAGGCAGTGTCTGACCCTGCACCCTGGGGTGGAGGAGTGGGGACACACCACACACGGAGGAACAGGTGGGTGTGCCCTGAGCCACACATAGGCAGACATGGAAAGAATAAAAATTCGCACCCTCCACGGAGCTTCAGGGGATCACCCCATTCCCAAACCCCAGCCCCTCACGCTCCCACCCCACGGAGCTTCAGGGGATCACCCCGTTCCCAAACCCCAGCCCCTCACGCTCCCACCCCATGGAGCTTCAGGGGATCACCCCGTTCCCAAACCCCAGCCCCTCACACTCCCACCCCACTCTAGCAGCTGATTCCTAGGGACACAGCCCAACCAGAGAGAAAGGGACAAGGACATCTTTGCAAAGTTAGGACTGGAAACTCTAGATTTGTCTCCTTTGGTTTCTGTCAACTGGAAACCAAAGAATTCCTCTTTATCATGTCAACTCACACAAGGCATCTCCACTCTGTTAGAACTCATGAAGTTTAATAAAACAAATGGTTTTTAAAAATCCTAGGGTGACACTTAAGTTGCTTATAGGATCTAACTGTGGATGATCTTGGCTTGACTTTTAATTTAACTCTCCTGTTGTAATTTTGGGCTA